GATGAACTTTGTAACAGTTGTCGATCTAAAAAAATTTTTTTTTTCAAACTGAAATGGACTTATCTAAATATATTTTAATTCTAATAGTTTTGAGCTACTGAAACATTTGAAGATTCAAAAATGATAAACACAGAACATTGAAACTAATTAAATAAAATCTCATTACAGCCGGGAAAGTTGCGCAACTCTTTGCTGAATTTTTGTTAGTGGAAGACGATAATCTCATATACTATCAACAAAATGTATAAATAAATAAATAATCTCCAAAAGAACATGTCATTGACTTTAACATCTTGCGTGTTCATGATAGACCATAAAATTATTTACTTATTACATAATGTCAAAGTATCTGGACCTTAATCACAGTAATCATTAGAGGTTCAATCTGACATCCGAGCCAAAATTCAAAATAATATAATCATTATTTTTCAAAATAAATGATTAGAAACTTTGTACAAAAGAGCTTAATTACAAACTTAAATGTGACTTTGCTGTAAATTAGAATGATTTCGTTTATGTATAATTATCTGAACTATTCCATTAACTGAAATAACTCCTATCGAAATTAATTCAGTTAATATACGTTTCATACGATTACATTCGAAACATCCTCACTATATTGGATTCTCGGCCGAATATGTGGCGGTACAAAGTAAAGGAATGGGGGGCACTGTCTGTCCGTTTCTAGTCTTTATGCACTCTTATGATTTTAACAAGGGTCGTGGAGTCGGAGATTTATGGTAATTTAAGCGAAGTCGGAGTCGTCAAAAGTCGTTTTATTTTGTATTTTTTAAAAATAATTTGAAAATCGTCGTCATTAATTTTTATTGCGACTGTATATACATGGCAATAAGATTACGCATAAGAAAAAATTCAGTTGAACTTTTTAATTTGTCAAAATCGGAATCGGAGTTGGTTTCGGAGTCGAATTTGGCATCAAAATGTAAAATCGAAGTAGGAGTCAGTAGATTTTTAAACGACTGCAAGGATTTAACGACTTTCAACAATCAACAGGCTGGAAAAGATGTTCAGAAGAACTTAGGAAATATAAAATTAATGTGGCGAAAGAAGGGAAGCAAATGGATAACTTCATTAAAAATTATCTATTTTCTTCCCTCTTTCTTAATTCAAATTTAGTCTAGTTTCTCCTTTCGTATTTCTCCATATTAGCAAGGTTTTGAATCTACCTAATATGTTTGAAGTTTCTTGCAAAGATGACATTTTTTAACTTGAGAACATTAATCCAAATTTTTTCTTTTGAAATGTTTTATTTCTTTAAACATATTTCATTTCCTTGATTTATAAATCAAGGAAATGAATTTAATTTTGAAATTATAAAATTTTTGGTCGTAATTATTTAAATTTTTTAAGTTATACTTTTGATACTTCAGAATAACTATTCAGAATTCCAATATACATCTGAAGACACTTAATTCAAATCATTTCAAAGGAAAATCTTAATAATTTATTACATTTTACGCTTAAAATCTATGAAAACATAATTCAGATAAAATCTATGTTTTGTACAAAAATATAAATAAAATACAGCGTTATCTATCATCTATTTCTAATGTTTCTTTTTATAATTTAACTACAATACTTTTATTTTTATTTAACTACATTAATGGTCGTCCTGTTTTTCTCTGTAGCATAAAATTTTAAAAATGTTTTATTAAATGTATGCTAATAAAGAAATATATGCCAAAATAGAAATCTTAAATTATAGATTAAATTTAAAAAATAAATCAAAATACTTAAAGAATAGCAAAGTATATTTTTAACCATAAAAAATAGCACTATATATCTTAGAATTTTGTACATTGTAGCAGAATTTATTGGTTTTCTTTATTAGTAATCAATGGCTAAATAAATAATTCATTGATTTTAGCAATTCAAAGAGCTCCGTTATAGACATCGATATATTTTCATTCGTGACTAGAAGTATAACTTTCTTCCTAGCTCCTGAAATATTTATTTAATCGATTTTTTTCTGTTAATTAATTATTGTTACTTCAATGAGAATTTATTGAGATTCTTGCAATTAAAATTAAATCTTAAAATTTTGTCCTAAATTTTTGAACTGATCAATCTTGAACTTTTGAAATGATCCTTCTCTAATGATCATGAGTCCCAGAGCATTAAATAGTGTATGAGATAAATGACACTTATTTGTAACGAGCAATTATTTATTGCGACATCGTTACAATGTCGGGCCAGTGGCGTAACGAGGGAGGTGCAAGGGGGTGTATCATGCACCGGGCGTCACTCGCAGAGGGGCGCCCAAATGGTCTCCAAGACAAACTATATGTTTCTGGAGGTGGCGCCATAATAGGACCTCGCTCCATCCTAAAACTTGCCTCCGGCCGGCACTGGTTACGACCCTCGCTTTTCACGTNGGGGTATGGGAGGGGGCGGGGAGGGAAAGGGGAGGGAAAGGGGCGCCAATAAAGTGTCGTGCCTCGGGCGCCAGTTATGTTCGCTACGCCACTGTGTCAGGCTGCAATTTTTAATCATATTTTTAATTTATTTAATTTAAAATATATGCTCTCCACCTCAAATTATTACTATAGTGTCTTGCCTCTGTACATCATACTTTTCCTTTAACAATAGAGTCGTGCTGATCTATTAACTGTTCCCGGGGAAAGTTTTGGATTGAAGTAACGTGATTTTCTGTTTGTATCGGAAGTTCATATATAGTTAATCGGGGTTTCCTGCCCTAAGCTCTCCATATCTGTTCTCGACTTTTATCTGTCTAACTCCGTTCTCGAGATTAAAGAAAGACAGAAGGACAGACAATGGACAACAATGGAATTTATAGGTCTACCATTTTTTCAAATTGCAGCCCAACTACATAAAAATTTGTATATAAAATGTATGAATTTGTATATGTTCCTCTAATAGTCTTAAGCATTGTTGACTGAATTATCTCATTTTTTTAATGTTTAAAACACTAGAGACAAAAATAATTTACTAGAATTCTCATATGTAGAGTCAATTATTTCCGTTTTAGTGCATAAGAGCTATGTAAACAGAGTGAATTATTAATCTTTCAACAATATAACAGTATTTGAGATACTTTAGTGAATTCTCTTAAAGATTTTAAAGATAATTCACTAAAGTACTCTTATGCTATTTAAGAATAAGTTTAACAATAATCATATATTCCATAATATTTAAATAATAATATGAAAATTTATCAAATATTTTTGTAAAAAGAAAACTGAAAACTGACATAATTTTTTTACGCGGTATAAGAATAAATTTTTTTTAAAGGAATGAAACAAAATATTTGCACTTGATTCGGTGAAGAATTTTAACAGTTTTAGAAATACGTTTTGGATTTCTCTGCATCACAATTTATATAAAAAATATAAACAATTTATGTTTTATGTAGAATATTTATAAGACATCATCTATGGAACAAATTATAGAAATATAATCATTTGAAAATTATTTAGAATGTTAAACAATGATTGAAATAAAATCAAGTTGTTAAAAACTCAAATGCATATAGTTGACCCCGGCTTTACGAACTCTCGCTTTTACAACTTACTATTTGTATTAAATACTGAATTTAAGTGTCTTAATTTTTTTTAAGAATCTCTATGTGACATTTAATAGCTAAAACTGTCATTTACAGGAACGTAATCGCAATTTGTGACCCTGAATTTATAGGGATTAGATTGCTCATTTTATGGAAACGAGGATTTACTGTATTTTGAAACTGTTTTGTTTTTTGTTCGAGGTTGAGTTTAATATATAGGGCTATCTTTATAAAAATACAATACACAAATAGTATAATCAATTATGAGTAAATTTATTTTTGAAATTTTAAATGTTTTTAGAATTTCGATTCTAAGAACATTTAAAAATTAAATGGATCACGTAAAAAAATTTAAATTTAAAATTTTTATTATAAAATTTAATTTATTATTGAATATAATAATAATTCGATTATTGATTTGGAATAAAATCTAATGAATAACCTAATTTTTATCTTTTGCATTTAATTAATGAAGAAAAAGAATTTTGGGTATTTTTAATATAAATAAACGTTTATTATAATATAAAAAATAATTAAATATATATCAATTTTTTTTCTGTTTAAATAATCAAATTTACCTTTTTCAAACAAATTGACTGTTCGGTGATAGGAACTTTATTCTGAGATAAAAAGAACAGTTCTTCCTTTTCGCACATTTCCAGGAATAAATTTTTCAAAATAAAATTGTCCAAATAATTGATTTGTGTAACAAGAAAACGGAACGAAGGAGGAGGAAACGGATGCTGTTACGAAAAGGAATCGAGCGCAGTCACATGACCGGGTCAACGTCATTCCCGACAAGAGAGAGAACGCGCGCGCGCGCGTCTATATCAGAACGTAGTTAAATGTCGGCAAGGGATGATGACGTTGTCTGATAAATTTTTTGACTGATTTATTTATTGTTTTTTTTTACTCTTTTTAGAAGAAAAACGTTAATATTTTAATTGGTGTATATTATAATTTTTGAATATTCGAACTTTATATAATTTATCTGTTAAAATACAGATTATTTATCATGTTGCCGTTAAGCCTAGTTTGGCTTTGTTTCCAGACTTTGATGTTTTCCAGGGCAGACGATCTTCCCACTTGCCATCCGGTGAGTTTTTTAACTAAAAAATTCTACATAAATGCATTAATTAATTAATTTAATGCGCATTTAAAGTGAAATTATACCATAATTTTTTGTTATTTTCATATTATGAACGAATCTATTAAGAGAGAATAATTTTATTATTATTATTATTATTATTATTCTGTTATAACTGATGGTACCGATAGGTGGCTAATAATTCCTTTATAACAGTATTTCCAGTAATTTATTGTAGACAAGTTAAATACATTAAAAAGGGAGTTTCCATTAATACAATTTAATATATAATTTATCCAAATTATATATTAACTAACTAAGCTTAAGCGAAGAGTTTTTATTTTTTTTGCAACTGAAATACTGATAGTAATATTTCCTTTACAACAGATAATATTATCACTATTAACAGTTATAACGGAGAAAAAATGTTGTTTTATAACATACATTCTTAGCTCCAGCTTAAATTAGTTCAATAATATGTAAATTTCGATTATTATACATTAAACTGTATATTATTGGAAATTAGGGTGTTTCCTTTAATATATAGTGGTATGGAAACACCCCTGTTAATGTTTTCAGCTTATCTAGAATCAATTTAATGATCGCTCAGAATTTTAATTTTTTTTTCTTTTTAAGTCTATTTAAATAACCGGCACAATTTAGAAACGTGTGTATACAGAAAGTATGTATTCAGAATACAGCTGTATGTATTGTATAAACAATTAGATGTGCGTGTACAATATGCTATCATTTTAATAGATATAAGTGTTTCATGCACATTGCGGAAAGAGAGAGAGGCAATCCTATACTGAAAAAAATCGTTTCAGCCTAATTCTTCTGTTAGAAGATAATGGAAAATATTGACGATAATTTAACACATACATTACATATATGCCTAATTAGTTAAATAATAGTCTATATAATTTGGGTAAATTATATGGTGAAATTCGAAATTGTATGCAGTTTAATGGAAAAATTTTGTTAGTATAATTGTTATATGGTTGAAATCAATTTAATAGCCGCTCAGAATTTATAAAATTTTTTATTTTTTGCGAACGAATTAAATCGAACTGCGGGATATTTACGGGTTACTCTTTAAATTAATTATGTAATATAGCTTATAAATAAGTAATTATATATATATTTTAAAACTTTCTCAAATAATTCGCCAATTTGATTTGGTTTGTTTGCTCATAATTTGACTATATTTTATATTTAGTTTATATTTTTTTTTAAATTTTGTCTATTTTTATTAAAATTTTGCCCGTTTATTTAATTAACTTCATAGATGTATAATTACGTAAACAATTTTAATAATAAGTATATAGAATATACAATCATATATAATCATATTTATCGTCTTTATATAGCCCTATACTATGTATTATATAACAGTAAATACCTAGATTCATGACAATCCTGAAAATATTAAAAAATTATTTTAAAATAAGTCTTTCATTAGAAAAGGCTTACGAGGTTGATGATAATTTATACGTTAAAGTGCATTAATATATAGTTTATGGAAACAACTCTATTAATGTGATTCAATTAATCTAAAATCAATAATCATTCAAAATGTGTAAAATTTTAACATTTTATTTTTTGTTATTGACTCTCGTTAGGCTTACAAAGCAGAAAAAAATGACAAAAATGAAAATAAGTCCTGTTCCTTACCATCATTGTGTAACTAAGCGATCCTAGGATTCTGATTTCTCTAGATTGACTCCTAAGAATTTGAACCGAGTTTCGCCAAGTAGTCTACTTTCTTATCTTCTAGAACCTTTAACTGATCAGCAGCACGTAGCTACTGTACAAAACATAAAAATAACTTAAAAACATGACGCTAAAAGATTACCGTGATTTATTCACCTCTTGATCCATTTCATTACAACTTATCTTATTCATATACAGTATAAAGCAATTGTATTAACACTATATTATATATATACCGTATATAAGCAATATACACATATAAGTTATATAAAAGTAAATGTAGCCTGTACTTGCATTTATTAATCGCTTTCATATTAATTTTTACTTTCCCAGCTGTTATATATAACAGTAGAAAGTATGACGATCGGTCAAAAAATGACTCTCCCAAGATTTTTACATTTTTGGACTGAGGGCTTAGACCACAGAAAATTTTCCAGGGGAGTCAAAGCTTGGACACAAATAATTACATCAAAATTTTTATTTAATTGTTGGGTTTTTTCACAAATATATTATAGAATGCAGTATTACATGAATACAAAAAGACAAAACCTCCCATGATCAAGGGTGTAGATTTTGATTATAGGCTAATTTGTTGAATTTTTTAAATCAATGCCAGGGGAGAGCAAGTGGTCCGTTTGCCCCCCTCTGCGAATGCCCACGACACAGGGAACCTTGGAACGTCGAGAAATACAAAAAAAAATTGGGATTTTACTTCATGTATAGACGTTAATGTGTGTGGAGTGCGATTTTGTTTACCCGCTTTGAAGCCCCTGTACTTTTGTCTTAAATTTCTAAAATTTTGCAGGAAGGTTTTTGTGTTATGGAGATTTATACTGTTAAATTTTGGTAAAAGTCAAGGAGTAGGAAAATAGAGAAGGATCACTTGCCGTATCTCGAGTGAGATCGTACTTAATGAAGATTTTACTCATTATTGCATTTGCATTTTTTTTTTTTAAATAAAATTTATCCTTACCCTCAAAATTAAGCTTCTTGCCATTTTATATTAATTAATTAAATAATATAACATTTTAAAAATAAAATCTCATAACAGAGGATGTCACACAATTTTAAACTTTGGCCTGGAAAGTTACGCAATTCGTTGCTGGATTTTTAATAAAAAATTATAAAAATCAGTATATTTACATGAACAATTAATAAGTTGTTATTAACTTTTATAAAATTGGCTTACAAAATTATTCTATCAATTAATACTTATTTTAGTCAGAACAGGACTTTGTTTCTGTGTACAAATATGATACTGTTATGAATCTCGCAAACGCTTTTTTGTCAGTAAGAATAGAACTGATTTCTCATTTAAAACTGTATATATTTATTATTAACTATCCCTAAAATAAATTATATAGTAAGTTTTCTGTATTGGAGTCGGCAATCTGTTTTCTTGTATTTTTCGCAGGTGCACTCACAAGATAATTGATAAGCCAATGTTTGATATTTCACATATTTGTATTTAATTACATATATAAAGGTCAAGATATGGACTTTTGCTTTGTTTATTTGTAGTATTAGAAAAATGTACAATATAATTCCGTTAAAATAATTATATCAAACAAATCAAAAATAATAAAGATTTTCGTTGGAAATTTCGAATCTAAACATTATAACAGAATATGATTAGCACATAATATCATTTTAGGTATCGAATATTATACAGTTTAATAAATACATCACAAATTAAGACAGTGAGTAAGTGAAATCATTCTCAAAGTTACAAATTCTTGATTGATTGGATTTAAATGCATTTATAATTACTTTGCATCATGAGAAGACATTAAGAAGATTAAGTAACTATATTAACTGCGATTATAATAATATTTGTTAAAATCTTTAATAAATTTTTACTATCACTGTATAAAATATAAATCAATAATTTATGCAAACAGTTTATCAATATGCTTGCTTATAAATTTAAATACTAGATAATGGAAAGACATTTACAGTATTTTGTTAGAATTAATATAATTTAAAAAAATACTTAAATCTTGATTTTAAAAATAGGATGAATCATAACCCATTCTTAGTTATTCGGGAAAGCTATAGTTTTTGTATTTTTCTAAAATTTCTAAAATATTTTGAATATCACGTGACTGATTCAGCTTTGTTTTATCAGTTTTTATGCACGTAGTTATAAAACTAAAATTGAATACAGTATATGGATACAGTCAAACCTCGGGTTTCGAACCTCTCACTTTTCGAATAATTCGGTTTATGAACAAAATTTGAACGCCATATTTGCTCCTGTTGCCGAACAAGCTACTCAGCAACAGCCGGGCACACATTAGAGAGAGATAGATAGCCAACTTCCTATACTTCCTATGCTAAAGAAAATCGACGGGCCGACCAATCAACGCCGGGACTACCGATTCAGAAGTTAGTGGCGCCGAGATCGCTTTGCGTCATTACTGTTGACCTCATGACACGAACCATCGATGACGTTTTCGTTCAAATTATATTTCGATGCTCATGCGGGTAAGATACGTGTCGCAATTGAATTTAAATCAAATTAATTAATAAAAACCGTGTTAATTGCATTCGCCTAATATAAATGACATCCACGAATCTGTGTTTAAAGGTGCTTAACTCAAATTAAATACTAGGTAGCAAGTTAATTAAAACTCTTAGTTTTACACCAAACTGAAACTAAAGCTAAAATTAAATTTGAAATCAATTAAAACATAATATTTCGAAAGTGTGGATGAAGTACTTTTTGTCGGTCTTGATTGATTTGATTATATTTCATCCAGGCAGAGTCGAGTTTCTATTTATAGCACTTCTTTGTAAAGTGTTAGTTTCGTTTTCGGTGACCGAACATTTTGTTTTTAACTTGATATATATAATGGATATAGACATAGATATAGATAATATTATATTGCTTTTGTGGGCATTTTTATTCATGAAATTCACCTAAAATAGTCAAAAGAAAGACTTTGTTTTGGGGATCAGAAACGTATTAATACATTTTATATTGTTTCTTATGGGAGTATTTGTTTCGGTTTGAGAACAAATCGGTTTGAGAACGACTTTTAGGAACGAATTAAGTTCGAAACCCTAAGTTTGACTGTATTTGTATTTATTAAGTGTGCAAATATAAAATCGCAAGATCGCATTGATAGTAGCATCTATTTTTAATTTTAAATCTTTAAAATTTGGGATCATTCAAGTATTATTTCACATTTCATAGGGGAGGGGGTTTCGTTTATATCTGACGATTACTGACGATGGGGAAAGGGAGGGTAACTGTTTGATGATATAAGATTATACCCGTGGTTTATTTTTTC